TTTATTTATTTATTTATTTATTTATTTATTTATTTATTTATTTATAACTGTGTCTGTGTGCAGTTTTGTGCCTATGAGTGTAGTGTTCACAGTGACGAGAAGAGGGCACTGGAAACCCTGGAGCAAGACTCATAGACAATTGTGAGTTACCTGATGTAAGTGCAGTGAACTGAACTCAGATCCTCTGCAAAAGCAGCTAGTCCTCTTTACCACTGACTCATTTCTCTAATCCTTATCTTTCTAGTCTTATAAAGCCTACACAAAAGGTCCCCATCCCTTGGGTATATGTGGTATATACATGACATGTGCACAGGTGCTTGAGTCTGTGTGTGTGTGTGTGTGTGTGTAGGCCAGAGGTGATCACCAGCTGTCTTCCTCTATTGTTTTTCTCCTTATTTATTGAGATAGGGTTTCTCACTGAAGCTGGATCTCACAGATTGGCTAGCCTGGCTGGCCAGTTAGCTTCTGCAATCCTCTTGTTTCTGTCCATCAGCACTGAAAGTACAGTGGTTACCTCAAGACCCAGTTTTTTTTTTTTTTAAATGGGGATGAGCAATTCAAACCTAGATCCCCAGGCTTGCAGAGCAAGTGCTTTACCCACTGAGCCATCTGCCTAGCCCATCTCCACAACACTTTTACAGGGTTGCTTTATGGGACCGCTGATCATGAACCAATCCCCACAGATATCCCTGACTTGCTATTAAAAAGCCCCTACCCCATTCTAGGATGCACAGGTCTTCCCAGTACCAACATTCTGCATGTACCAGCTGCAAAAATATAGATCTGATGGCTTAGCTCATGTAACAAATAAAGATCAGGTACCACAAAGGTCCAAGCAATTTTATTGACAATGGGATATGATGGAATTTGGTCTCCTTCATGCCCTACACCCATATCACAAGACAGTGATTATTTAATATGATAGAAGGCACCATGCCCAGAAGCTGAGTTACTTGCTGGCACATATTAGTAATCTCTACCCAAGCTCATTGAGAATCCCTTCAGGTAATAACTCTTTCTCTGTAATTTTTTATTGATAAGGTGGTCAATAACAAGAGAGCCTCCAAGTCATATTATAAGGAGCAGTAGAACCTTCTCAGCTCTCTGCCTCTATGGTGTGGGAGAATTGTCTGTATTCTGTCAATGACGTTATAAATAAACACTGATTGGTCAGGCAGGAAATATAGGTGGGAAAACCAGACAGGAAGTAGAAATGATGTAAGGAGAACAGGAGAATTCTGGGAAGGAGGAAGTTGATTCCTCCCACTCCCGCCCAGACCACTGAAGCAGTAGGATGTGATCTGCCCCACTTAAAAAAGGTGCTGAGCCACATGGCTAACATAGATCCGAAAAATGGGTCAATCAAGATGTGAGAGTCAGCCAGTGAGAGGCTAGAGCTAATGGGCCAATCAGCTTATAAGTTATGGAGACCTATGTGTGATTTTTCTCTGGGACTAAACAGCTGGGGGTATGGGCAGGACAGAAACACAAACAAGCAGTCCTGGCCCTTCATGTTACACCTCTATAGGTCCTGCACCCCTTTCACTATACAGGTATTCCAGTATTGCTTCCCAGACAAACTGTGATGAGATTCTCAGAGGGTCCTTCGATAGTCAGCTTTGTTCAGTAAGCAAAAAATGTTTTCATTGATTATAAGTCTATTGATTAGATTTATAGGACAGAATGTTTCCCAAAGAACCATATAGTAAGTGTTTATTTGTTTGTGTCTGCTTTATCTGTGTATACGTTTGTGCACATATTTTCTCTCTCTCTCTCTCTCTCTCTCTCTCTCTCTCTCTCTCTCTCTCTC